TATAAACACCCTCTTGATATATGTATTTACTAATAGACTTTTGATATAGTGAAAAAATCTCTCAACCTGATTAATTTACTATAACAAGAGTGACTTGTATTTTATTGAAAAAAATATGATTTGATATCTATCTAATACAAAGTTTTTTTGCTTTACAAGGTTTAACATGATTATATATATAAAAAAGAGATCTGTTTTCATATTCTATGATTTCTTAAATAGCTAATTTTTTTTTAAATGAATTACTACTGTTTTTCATAGTTTTTTTATAAAAATATGAAACCTGATTATGATTTTTTTTTTTCACTACCTCACAGAAAAATGTCTTTAGTCCTCATTTCTGATATTTTTCAAATAATTTCCACTTATAATAAACAATGGTATGCATATAGGGTATAATTTGACTAGATAAATAAAGTTCTTGAATAAATGAACATTGATTAGTTAGATTACTTTAAGAAGGTTTTAAAAATAATGTTAACCAAGCTTGTACTTGCTGTTTAAAGTCTTGAGGATTAGTAGTCTTATTACAAAGACTAGTATACAAATAATAAAAATCATCTTATAATTGCCATATAAGAGTTGCTCATGATGAACAAAATAATAATGCAAAATTAAACTAATACAATAAAAATTAGCTGTGTGTACAGTATAAAAAAAAAATTATAATTATATTTGTAAAATTATACTTGGCACAAAACTTTTTCTTTTTTATTACCACAAAGTGATATATACTTCTATATATGTGTTTCCTGATCTTTCTAAAAGTTAAATAAAATATTTAGCCATCATATTTTATCTATAATAACTTTTCGTATTAAATCATTAAATAATCTTTTTTCCTTAATTTCAGCTAGCATTAAAGACCATAAATGATCTGTTATACATAAAAGTATATGAAGTATATCGAATATATAATTTTCAATTGATATCATATTGAAAATTAGTGAATATATATGTTCGCAAAAATGTTTATAATTTGCTATAACTTGTTCTATTGTTTTGCTAATATGCTAGTCTTGATTTAAATTGCTTCTTTGTTCCTTTAAACATTCATATCATGAACAGAAATATTTAGAATTAGCACTATTTATTCCTAAACAAATTGTTAAAAATTTCTAATCTGAGCTAAAATATAGCTTGAAATTTCAATGTACTCCAGAAACTTCTAATCCATTATTTTTTAAAAAGTTCAAGTTATCTAAAAAAAATTTTAATACAAATTTTAAAGTATTATATTTTTTAGTACTCAGATAAAATGCTATTGTATAATGATAATCTGCTTGATAGTGATAAAGAATGTTATTTAATATCATAAATGTTATCATTACGTGCTTAATTTTTCTACTAATATTTCTTCCATCACCTGAAATCCGAAGATAAATAGTTGGATCTGATGATTTAAGAATATTTTTATTTTTTAGTTGAGGAATAAGAAATACTAGAATATATATAATATTTTGCTGAACACCTGTTTCTATTGCATCAGTAACTTCTTAAATAACTTCAGAATCATTAATATATGATTTCTCTAGTTCTTCATTATAATTTTGTATATTTAAAGTAATAAGATTAAATTGAATATTTTTGTTCATTTTGATAGTAATAATATATTTTTTTTTAAACACAGTTCCTTCACATGGTAAATAAATCTCTGTAGCTGCTAATTCTTAATATGAATTTCATAACACTTGACCTTGATTAATAGCTTTAACTACTAATTAAATTTTATAATTTTTTTTAACTTCATTTTTAGCATCAAATTCAATATAATAGTTATTTTCATTGACAGAAAATTCTAGTGTTTCTAATGAAACTTGATCAAACTTATGATAAATATCTTTAATATTTTCTTTAAAATTGGATAATATTTTGTTACCAATATTTTTAGCCTGTTTTTTAAGTGTTGATAAAGTATATTTATCTGCTAGTTTGATGAAATTTTTTCTATTTTTTGATTTATGTATTTTTCATATATATTCTAACTGTAATCCAAATATAAAAGATCCTGATAATATAGTAGCATGACAGAGTTTCTATTTATACACGAGCATTACACAAGATTTTGTATAGAAGAGATTATAGTATATATGAAGGTCATATAGTAACACATCCAATGAAACGTTAGTTTTTTGTCAAACTTTGTCAGTTAGTCTATTAGTTGGCTTTAATTTAAATTGTAAAGGTACATCTTGAATGATCTCTATTGTTCGAGACTTTTATAAGACGCATATTTTTATAATAAACGTTTAATATATGCTTATAATTATA